CTTTGCACAACTTATAATAAACATAAAATATTTTACATCAACTTAAAATCATCAAATTAAACCAAACTGTATAACTGCCGCCGATGGCAGCCACACTCCCACCAAATCACAGGTGATTTCCTACTAAACCTGAATTAAAAAAATAAACAATAAATGTCTGTGGTCTAACATGAGTTATAGAAAGTCATGTGTCATAGTTTTGAGCTACTCAGCTTCGACAAGAGTGACTGTTTTGTGGATGGGTCTCTCAAGATATACTGGCTTATTAACTCTTTTTCCTTGGTCATCAAGTGTTGTATCACTCATCAATAGTTCGAGTTTCCTTATGACTCCATCTTCACTAGGGTACACTTTTGTTACCTTGGCCAGTTTCCACTCATTTCTGGGTAGACTATTGTCCATCAGAATCACAATGTCAATGATCTTGGCATTTCTCTGTGTCTTGTACCATTTGTTTCTTTGCTGAAGATTCAYCAGGTATTCCCTTTTCCATCTGGTCCAAAATTCATTGGCCAAGTATTGTACCTTGCGCCATCTTTTGCGAAGATAAAGATCTTCTTTCACAAACTCACCAGGTGGTGGTAAAACCACTGAAGACTTCATGGTCAGGATGTGATTRGGCGTAAGAGGTTGTGGAGAAGTGGGATCACTAAGCAGGTGAGTTGTTAAGGGCCTACTATTTATGATCGCCATAACCTCATAAAGGTYTGTACGTAAAGATGAAATGTCAAGCCTTTTGGATGAATGATCCAAAATGGATGTCAACACACTTCTTATTGTCCTGATCTGCCTTTCCCAGGCTCTACCCATATGGCTAGCAGATGCTGGATTCATGACAAATTCACAACCTAGTTGTTTTAGGCTTTCTTGGTCCATTTTCTTTACAGATTCCAAGAACTCTCGTCTTGCTCCAACAAAGTCTGTTCCCTGATCTGACCGAAGCTGTCGAACATTTCCACGTATGGCAATCAATGTTCGAAGAGCATTAATAAAAGCATCAGATGTCATGTCGTCAAGTAGCTCTATATGCACAGCACGCGAGCACAGGCATGTGAATAGCAGACCGTAGCATTTGAGTTCCTTTCTTCCCTCCTTAACGTAAAATGGGCCAAAGCAGTCTGTCGTGGCAAGAATGGTCAGAAACACGGCGAAAAGGTGTTAGAAAGACAAATAGTCTTGCGGGTATGATCATAAGTCATTTATTGATGGGCAGACATGAAACAGAAAGCAATCACGAAGTCTGTTAGATGTGGGCCCCCG